TTTGTCCTGCTGGATCTCTATTGCAGGTGGTGATGTTTAAGAAGGAAATCTTTTTTTTTTTTAGGTAACATATGGAGCATGCTTTGGTCCAGCATCCCTTTTCAAAGTAGGACCGTCCATTATTTTCCCAGTTAGCTAAGATTCCTTGTTTCAACATCTAACAGCTTCCATGTCAAGGGCTATAAATCCACTACTGCATATGATACCACAGCCAAATGTCTGAATTGCTGGAAAACTTAGAATCTTTATGTCCACTAAATTTGAGTTATTTTAGTGGATTTATAATACAAAGCCAAATTTAATTGACACTAAATACATAGAGCTAGACTGTGACCTGGAATGCACTGCATGCAGGAACATGAGGGGGCTAGGAACTTTGCATGCACTCCTGTGTGGGTTACCCAGCCCTGGGACCCGGTGCACAAGGGCCTGGGGGTGAGGGTGGGAAATGGGCTTAGCTGAGCCAGCACGGGGAATGCCGTAACTTGCTGCTGCTATAGGCCAACAGCAAATTATTACCCACCCTTGAGCAAGGGGGAAGTGAGGGCACAGCATTTCAAGAAAGATGTGGAGAAATTGGAGAGGGTCCAGAGAAGAGCAACAAGAATGATTAAAGGTCTTGAGAACATGACCAATGAAGGAAGGCTGAAAGAATTGGGTTTGTTTAGTTTGGAAAAGAGAAGACTGAGAGGGGACATGCTAGCATTTGTCAGGTATCTAAAAGGGTGTCATAAGGAGGAGGGAGAATACTTGTTCACCTTAGCCTCTACAGAGAGAACAAGAAGCAATGGGCTTAAACTGCAGCAAGGGAGGTTTAGGTTGGACATTAGGAAAAAGTTCCAAACCGTCAGGGTGGTTAAACACTGGAATAAATTGCCTAGGGAGGTTGTGGAATCTCCATTTCTGGAGATATTTAAGAGTAGGTTAGATAAATGTCTATCAGGGATGGTCTAGACAATATTTGGTCCTGCCATGAAGGCCGGGGACTGGACTCGATGACCTCTCGAGGTTCCTTCCAGTCCTAGAATCTATGAATCTATGAATAAGATGGATGATGGTTGCATAGGGTCTTGATCATCTGAGATAATTAAGCCCTGCTGATCCACAGTCACCTCCTGCAAAAATTCCTTTAGTTTTCTTCCTGTTGTGTTTCCATTTGCAACCACCCCAGTGCCATTGCAAGGGCTGGTGTTTAAAGCATTCAGCATTTGATGTTTTCCCTTTTGTCTTTGGCATCGTGTCTTCAGATGTCCTTTCCTTGTGAAAGTCTCACCACTGCTCACCAAACAGACAGTTGTGATCCCCTCACACCATGCCACCTTTGGAGCAGAGCTGGACCCAAGCAGATTCATCCCACTCTAGCTATCCCACCAGACCTAACATTGATGGTGAGCTTTAGGGTGGCATCTGATCCTCAGTTACTGAGGCAGGAAGCTGCTTTATCCAGCTACTGCCCTCTTGCCATTTTAAAGCGGTTAAAGTCGAAGGTAGTGGGATGAGAGCCTGTAGTCCGTCACCATGACTCCACTTCAGGAATTAAGTTCTGTTGTCTAAGTGTATCCAGGAGCTTCTTAAACTGCTGCTCCCCTCAGCTTCCTTCAGGCCTGGCTGTGTGTTTGGTGGGCCGAACTCTGCAAAATTCCAAGTGCTTCCTGGCAGGAAACATTCAAAAAGTATTTTCATGGATTGTCTTTCAAAAAGAGAAAAAACAAATGTACAGGGGTAATTTTGTTTTCCCCTTGAAGTTCGCCTGTGACTACATTGCTGGTGGTACTTGCCACTACATTGCTAAGCCTCCTTAATGCTAACGCATACTGAAAGGAGGCACATCCAATGTGCCAGTCAATTCTATAGCATGAGAGCTATGGTTTACCTGGCTTCTCTCTTCTTGCATATCTGGAGAAACAATCCCAGATGCCTAAATGAAATCTTCTGAGAAAATTAGTGTAAGGAACATACACAATTATGTTGTATGTTTCAACCTGCGGTATGTTAATGTGCACTAAGGAACTTAGTGTGCATCCAACAGGGTCTACAGTGACCAGCTGGTGTGCAACACATTAGTGCACTTTAGAATCACGCCTTCTAGTGCACATTACTGCACCACGTAGAGCAGTCCTAAGACTACTGCAGTTTGCGGTTTTCCCTTCACTGATCTTAGAGAGGGTACATTGTTTATTGCTATTTCACAAGTAGCATTAGAGATAGCATTGAGATCAAGAGTCTTGGTCCAGCCTATTAAATAAATAAAGTTGTGATCTGGGCATCCTCCCACGTTCATTTTTATTCAGACCTGTCTCTAGTTACTGATGTTGCAGATGGCTTCAATACACTGTTTATGCACTCCAAAACAAATAGAAAAGATTCTAATGACCTGCTCACATGGGTAATGGCTGAAGATGTGGAACTAAATCTACCTGCTAGAGACCTGCAAAGACTCCTATAGAGAGGTGTTCCTCAGGGGCGGCTGGCTGGTAGTATGGCTGGCACATATACTCATCATTATAGCTGGATTTTTATGACTTGAGTGTCACCATTTGAACATAAGGTTTCTCAAGTGGCTTGAAGCTGCACTCCCAAAGTTCATGTTGGTCATCAAAATGTCTTGTCAGTTCATCTGTTGGGGTGGCCTGGCCCTAAAAGTCAAAGCAGGCTTATCAATATAAAATGACCTTTACCAGGAACCAGACACCAACAGAGGGAGCAGTCTCTCTCCCTGCACCTCTTCTTCAGGTGTCTGGCAACCTCCCAAAAGACGTGCTGGAAACAGGGATTCTAGTTCATCTCCACTATTGTCAGCAATTGGCACAGCCACAGGAACTTATCAACACAAATAGCTAAATTACAAAGCTGCAACAATAAATCCAGCTCGGGTCCAGAACAGAGACCACCCATAAATTGAAAGATCTAGGGAAAAAAGAGTTCCTTCCCTATCAAATAATATTGAAAACCTGGGAAAGCCAGGTAGGCATTAACTACTGAATGGCAGGTTTTGCTGAAAGGAGAGAAAGAACATGTGCAGGTCTTCTACAAATCTTAAACCTCTGTGGCTCTCTGCCTTATACTAGCTTTCTGTCAGTTTCCAGATCTGCTTCTAGGTCTAATCTTCAAAGTCCTAAATCCATTAGCTTAGCTATCTTGGGAACTGTCTCTCCCTCCCTAATACACTGGGCTCCAAAGGGATATCGAGGCTGCTGGAGTTCAGCATGATGTTCTCAAGGCCTGGAGTCATGGCATTCTCCATGGAGGACCCTCAGTGATGGTGGGACTCCTTAATGATTGAGATGAGCTTAGTTCTTTCTGCAAGCCTCCCCTTAAGAGCAACCGCATACTGTTCTGACTGTTTTTCTCATAAAGATGGAAATAATGAAATAACTACTTCAGAAGACAACCACACAATGAAGTGGAGATGGAGAGTACAGTCTTTTGGGGCAGAATTTGTGCTTTGTAGTTATATATTCAATATCTGTATACTTTGATTATATTCCTAATAGTTGCCCTTAAAAGGTGACAGCCCAAAGCAAGTTTAAGGAGTGTTTCTTATTCAATGCAATACCAGAAGAAATGGTCAGTTAATATGTAAAATGACACAATGTAAAGTCTTTGGCAGCATGGTCATAAGCATGATGGATTCTTGCATGCACGCTATCTCTCCAACAAACTGTCAAAACAGACTTGGGGAAAAAGTTCAACTTCAGTTAGGGGTAGGGAGAAAATTAATGTCCTTGTTAAAGGGAAGAGGGGCCATGAAACTGAATAGAAGAGGCCTTCTTTCCACCAACAGCTCTGCTGTGTCAGTCTCAATGCTGAGATCAGAAAGACAGGACAGCAGTCAGCATCAAATGTCTTCCTATTTTAAAGACAATCTGCAGCTTTTCTCTGTGCAGATTCTCAGGTCCTAGAACAGCAATCTTGTGTCCTGAAACCTCACTGGGCCCAAGCAACTGCTCCAAAATTAAATGTGCCCTTTCAGAGTCATAAGGCCACAAGTTGGTGTTGAGCACCTTCAATCCCCACTGACTTCAACAGAAGAGGAATAAGCCTCCAAGTGAGGAGAAGTGGAGAAAGAGACAGGAAATGCCTGTCTTCTTGCAAGACAAGTTTTTCATTTACCTCTGAGCGATTCTTCTCCATCTGCACTGCAGATGCTTTCATCCCTGGGCTTAATCTCACTTTGGCTTGGAGTCTTTGCATCACATCTAATCCATCGCATTGTATTATGTATGTGGTTGAGAAATTTATTCTGAGATTTGCCATTTTATTAAAATCTTCATATGGTAGATCCAGCAGTTGGACACAGTGGAGACGCTGGGGCTCAGATACATCCCTGCAATAACACTGCAGTTAAAACAAGGATAAACCGGGCTTGAGGTCTACAAACAAATAGCAGTGCATTTTCTTTATAAACCCACTCACTGTTATGTTAAGTGCAGAGTGTTGACTAGTGTTTAATTTTTTTATTTCATGTTTGTTTACATGTGTGTATGCAAATTAAATTGCTCAGTGGCACGTTCTGCATAAATAGTTCTTTGCACACTAGAAAAATGTTAGGTGGGGAATGGGAAGTGAGAGATTGGGGTTCAGTCCCAGGTCCAGAAAGAAACTGAAACATGTTTTTGTTTGTTTCACTCAGATTTAAATTTGTATAATTTAGAAGATTTTTATTCCTTATGTACTCACAGGCTCTGCAGTTTCTGAGCTGGAGTGTCTGAAGGTGCCAGCAAACCAGTTGTAGGAATCAGTCAGAGCCTTGTTCTCTGTCCTTGGTAAGTTTACTAATTCCCATGCTTAATTTCATACTGAGACTCTTGTGTCTCAGACACCAACTTCTGAACTCTGAGCTTGGTTCCTTTCCCTTAGACACTCACTGTCCTCGCTCAACATTGTGTGTAGCAAAGGGGACACCTACTCTCCAGTGAGGAGAAATGGATTTTCTGAACCTTATAGTATGTACAGACTGGGTGCTTTGGTGCACTGACTCCCTATGTCTCCATCTCCAGGCAATATCCTGGGCACAGCCATGCAGTACCTGCAGCAGCTCCTCCAGATGCCCTTTGGCTGCAGGGAGCAGAACATGGTCCTGTTTGCTCCCAACATCTACGTCCTGGACTATCTGAATAAAACGGGGCAGCTGAGTGAGGAGACCAAATCCAAGGCCATTGGATACTTAGTCTGCGGTGAGGAGCATTAGAGGATTCCTCCTTCTAATATATGACTGGCTTTGCTGAAACAACTTCGCACCTCACGTCTTGGCATAGATGCAATACAGTTGCTCCAGTAACACAGACTTTAGGGCTAGTTACATTTGTGACAGAACTTGGCAATTTTTTTCATCAAATTATAATTCATGAAGAACACTTCCTTCTTCTGTTCCTGTGTAGCTTTGTCACATTATCCAGGGCCAAATTATCTCTTCACATGCAGTGCTGCAAGTCAGTTGATTTTCATAGGGTTGCTTTGGTGTAAATGGCAAAATAATTTGTGCCCCAGTTGTTAGTTTATAAATCCTATGGAAAGCTGTTTGGAGACTGGGGTTTAACTGATGGCAAAAATGGATTTTACCCTTCACCTAACTTTAAAAGCAGGGAATGGTTCAGTCTCCCCCTTGTGCTTTCAGGGTACCAGATGCAGCAGTCTTACAAACACCCAGATGGATCCTACAGTGTCTTTGGGAGCAGAGATAAGGAAGGAAGGAATACATGATGAGAGCTGGGAATCTGTGGGGGAGCGGGGTTGAGATGCTAGCATTGTCTACATAGACTCCAATTTCTTATCTGAGCCTGCATGGAGGGAAGGGGATCTGAGCTGAGCTTTACTGCTCCTGACTCATAGTAGGTGCTCATGTCTCTGTGGTTTCCTTGCAGGCTCTCTGCCTTCGTATATAAGTCACTTGCACAAGCCAAATGCTACATCCATATTGACGACAAGGTCCATTCTCAAACTCTGGTCTGGCTGGCAAGCAAACAGAAGCCAGACTGCTGCTTCCAAAATGCTGGGAAACTCTTCAATAACACCTTGAAGGTGATGTGTCTCTGCATATTCAGCCATTGCATATTTAGTGTAACCACTAAAAAATATTGTCCTTACCAAGCATATTTTATTCTACCACTGGGCTTACTGGTGTGTGCAAAATATTCTAGGTCGAGTTCTGCTGTAACAACTGTGTAAATCTGGAGTAACTCCATTGACTTTCATCAGGATTTGGACTACCACGTCCAAGAGCAGAATAGGGCAATCAACTGCATCCAAGCAGTCCAGCTAGAAATATTTTATAGCACATACAGTTTTCATTGATATCAACATGTATCTCTCACCGTCTCTCCTGCACTCTGCCCACTAATTCATATCCACCAGGATTTAGTCTAACTTTCCAAACTTCCGATAAGCTTTTTTAAAAGCCATCATTTTAAAGTCAACCTGTCATGATCAACACACTCAGTGTTCAGATGTACCAGATCTACGAATGCTGTGATTCTGGAGGTAAATTTGCTATTTGCAAATATGGTTACCATCACAAATTCATGCTAATAGAACCTTTACCACACCATTATTCTAAGCGCTGCATCCTGGCACCACACTCTTGAGGTTGGGGCGGGGACAATGAAGATGTGGATTTTGAACAAACCTATAGAGTGGGTGTCAGTGGTCCACCATCCAGTCATACAATGGGTTAGTGAGAAACTGTAAGAAGAAGGGGAGAAGATGGTCCCTCCTTTCCTCCCCTGGACTGACTAGCTCTCTTTGTGTTCTATTCAGGGAGGAGTAGATGATGAGTTTTCACTCACAGCCTATAACACCATGGCTTTGCTCGACGCTGGACATCCCAGCTTGGTAAGGATTCCTTCACTGTGGTTATCAGCTGAAAATGTACTTCTGTCAATTTACCTTGCATTAAAATCATTACAGATAGTCTAGGCACTGGGAGTGATAACTTGTGAGAATGTACAGGAACATGCATGCATTATCTTCTGGTAATGGAGAGGAGGAGCAACCATCCACTCTAACACATTCTGTTCATATTAGTGGAATATTAACCCAGAGATCTAGGATAGCATACAATTTATGGTGTACAACTTGTTTTGTTCTGTTGATGCATAATCACTGTAATTCCAGTATGCATAGGAACTGCACCTCAAATACATCCAGGAAACTAGCAATGTATTGACCAGTTTGAAATCCTCAGTAATGGCCCATCAACATACAGTAACTCCTCACTTAAAGTCATCCTGGTTAACGTTGTTTCGTTGTTACATTGCTGATCAATTAGAGAACATGCTCGTTTAAAGTTGTGCAATGCTCCCTTATAACGTTGTTTGGCAGCCGCCTGCTTTATCCACTGCTTGCAGGAAGAGCAGCCCATTGGAGCTAGCTTGTGAGGGCTTGGAACCAGGGTGGACCTGCAGCCCCTCTATCAGCTCCCCGCTCCCCTAAGTTCCCTGTGCTGCAGCCACCCAGCAGGCTATCAATTGCCGGGCAGGTCAGCTGTCCCTCCCCACACTGCCATGTGCTGCTCCTGCCCTCTGCCTTGGAGCTGCTCCCCAGAGCCTCCTGCTTGCTGTGCAGGGGAGGAGAGAGGGGGGCTAATGTCAGGGTGTCCCCTCCCCCCTGCTCCTGCACCCCGCTTACTCCATTTCCATAGAGCTCGGGGAGGGGGCACAACAGGGCTCAAGACAGAGGGAGCTTCCTGGCAGCAGCTTCTGTCTCAACTTACTGATCTACTTAAAAAGGCAGTGTACTTAGAGTGGGGTCAGCATACTTGAAGGGGCAGTGTGCATCTCTCTCTCACACACACGGTGTGTCTCTGTCTGCCATGCTGTCTCCCCTCCCTCCATTCGTGCTGCCTTGTAGAGTGTGAGGCTACATTAACAACAATGGGTTAACCCTTGAGGGCTCAGCTGATTGCTAGTTCATCATTTAGCAGCAAGGCATTCCCTGGGGAATATCCCACCCTCTGACTTCACCACCTCAACCAAGCTTCACAATCATCATCGCTGTGTACCCGTATTAAATTGTTTAACTTATACTGTGTGTGTGTGTGTGTGTCTATATATATATATATAGTCTTTTGTCTAGTGAAAAAAATTTCCCTGGAACCTAACCCCCCCTATATACATTAATTCTTATGGGGAAATTGGATCAGCTTAACATCGTTTCGCTTAAAGTCGCATTTTTTAGGAACATAACTACAACATTAAGCGAGGAGTTACTGTATAAACAAAGATGGACCTACACCACAAAATTCAGATCTGGATCCAAATCAGGGTTGTGCAGATCTAAGATTTGGGTTAAGCCCGTTAGAAAGGTAGTGATCAATTTCAAAATTCACATCCAAATCTGGGTTCGTATTGTACTCATTCTCCCTTGGAATTGTTCATATCTGAGGTCTGGGTTCCAGCCTATCTCTACACACACTATAATACTCCATGTTGCTGTTTCATGTACTTTTGCTATTTGTATTTGAAGGTCTTTCCTCCACCTGGCCCTTTGTGTTCTGCAGTGAAATATTTGGACTAAATTCAGACCTGTCAAAATCTACTCCAGCAAGTCCTTCAGATGGAGCTTTCAAGTGGACAGCAAAAACCGCCTGCTGCTCCTGCCTGATAATCTGGGAAATTACAGCCTGGAAGTGAATGGCCTTGGCTGTGTCTACGTGCAGCTCAGAGATACCCAGCCCACTGCCGCTCACTGTGGGCAGCTCCACCCAGGAATGAACCATTCTTGTGTCTCTTTTCTGTTTTTGTGGCTTGTTCATTCTTTTTTTGTGTCCTTTGTTCTTTGTATCATTTCTTTTATTCTCTTGGGTTTCGTTTATTCTTCCACTCTCTTTTGTTCCTCCTTTCTCTTTCATTCTTTCATGTATTGTGTTCCAGTGTTTCCTTCACTTTTCTGAGGGAACTTTCCTTCCTGGGATCTTGGGTCCAATTTCTGCACTCAGAAGTAGCTGTGTTTCTAATTGAAAACTCTGCCAATTGCACTCTATTGCATTCTCTTTGGTTTTCCTCTTTCCCAGGCGGTGAGATTTCTGAGAGGCATTAAAAGTAATGGATTGTGTCTCTGATGCAGATGCAACCCTTACCCTGGAGTCACTGTGAGGTAGTATTTGAGTCACAAGTGAAGCATCTTTGGAGCTGAATTAATGATGTGAAAAATAGATGATAGAGGCAGATCTGTCAGAAAGGTGTTTGAGAACTGCCACAATGTTAAATGGAGGAAGGGAGTGATTGGGGTTTTATTGTCAGGATTATTTCCCTTTTTTCTAGATAATTCTGAGATACAACATCCTTGTGCCTGAGAAGGCATCTGGGTTCTCTCTCTCTTTCTCTCTCTGCGCAGCCAGTGAATGCTACCTGCACAGCTGATGTGCCAGCAAAGTTTGACCTTGTCGTTTCAGCCAGGTAACCTCCTCTCACTGCCTCAGCTCCCTGAATGACAAGAACCAGCTGACTGGGAAAGGGTGAGGGGAGGGTTTAAAACAGGGCTGATTATAAATATTGGAACAAATCTGTGGCACCCCAGGACTTTGCCATGGCCCCTGTGATTGTGAGCATAGGACATGGCTTCTCCTACCCCGAAAACCCAGGTCTTAACGAATGGATCTAAAGGAGATTCTCCTCTAGCTGTTAGCAGTATGGAGCCTATGATACGCAACTAAGCATTTCTGATTCCATCCAACAATGCCCTGCAGTACGCATATACACTAGACAGTTGAGTACAGTGTTAGTGCTGTTTTATAATGGGGATGATTCACATTTGCCCCCTGCCCCCCTTTAGCCACATGGTGGTTGTCTGGATGCGTACAATGTGCATATAAGCAGTGAATCATTTAAATGGCAGTTGCCATTGCAGCAGCCATTGTAAGTATGCTGAGGTTCTCTCCAGCCACAGCCCTGTGGTGCCCGAGTCCCCTGAAGCACTCTCTCCTGCTGAGACACCTGTGGCCTGGTCCTGATGCCGGGACCTCTCCCCAAATGCAAGTCCAACAGTTCTGGATTGTGTCCCTGTGACTAGATATATAAAAAACACTCTGAACATTACCTCCCTCACCCTGCATGGAACTTACTGTGCTTCATGGCAACACCCTTTCCATCTCTAGGTGTTTATAGAGCACCAGCACTATAGAAACTAGATGCTGTATTAATAGACCTCTCCACGCCCTGTCCCTCTCATGCACTTATGCCTCTTGCCGCTCTGTCTCTCTCCTCCGTGTAATCAGGGCTTGATCTACACAAGAAAACGAAGTCAGTTTAACTATGTTGCTATGGGGTATGAAAAATCTGCACCCCTGAGAGGTGTAGTTAAGCTGACCTAAACCCTGGTGTAGATTAGCTATCTAACCTGTTGGGGAAGTGGAGATGGGAGAACTCCTCCCATCAGCATAGTAGTGTCTACACTGAAGCACTGCAGTGCTGCAGCTGTGACTCTGTAGTGTGTGAAGTGCAGACATACTCTAAGAAGTAAAAATGGAACAGGTAAATCAGAAAGGTTTTGTGCTCTGGAGCAGAATGTATCATTGTGATTCCTCCTCATTCATGGTCCAGACTGATCTGGTCTCTCTCATTGCAGTTATGCTCCAGCATGGCCATTGTTGATGGCAAGATGCTCTCAGGCTTTGTCCCGGACGGTTCATCCCTGTGGAAGGTAAAGGATGGGAGTGAGGTGAATAAACCACCCCAAGAGCAGAGGGGGTTACGGGCTGTTATACCCTGGGCTGGATAAAAGGAGAGGACTGGGCCAGACAACCAGTGTTCTGAGCCATGCAGGCATTCACTGGAGACCACTTGTCTCAGGACACATTGCCATCCCTTTCATTCCATACAACCAGTAACCCACTTAATGAAACAAACATTATACCCAAACTGTGTGTGGATGCCTGACAAACTGCTGCAGACTAGCTTAGGCCAAATAAATACACACATACATCTAGGGCCAGTGTGTGTGTGTGTGTTACAGCACCCCCCACTTCCCCACCCAAGGACAGATTTTTAAAGGCATGTAGGCTCCTAGTGGGACAGTCAAAAGAACCTAGCTCCCATTACAATCAGTAGGAATCAGGTATTTAAGCACTTTAGAAAAATTCACTTGGGCACCTGCCCATCTGCATTCTTAGGTGCCTAAATACCTCTGACAATCTGCCACCTAGTGATTATTATGCAGTTTCCACCTGGTTCCATGGTAATAGAGCTGCCAATACTTGCACTGATTAAGAATGTGGTAGGTGTTTAATGACATCATGTGGCCATTTCTGCAGGTTCTGGGATGTCTTTTGTGTTAATAAATGAATCTCTTTCCTTTTTCCTTGTTTCAAGCTTCAGGGTGATCGTATGGTGATGCAAGTGGAAACCAAGAACAACCGTGGCCTCTTCAACTTGGAGAGTGTAAGTCTGAGAAAATATGTTAGTTTTTCTTGACCTTTTTATGTATATTTTATAAAACTGTTTTCCCCTAAGACCAAAAGTCCTAACAAGGCAATTGTAAAGCAACCAAGTCAAGTGAACAGGGACTCTGGGAAGATGGTATCATACAAGGTAAGCAGCCATGTGTTTGGGACCCACTTTAGGGGTCTTTGGTGGAAAGAAATTGATATTAAAAGAAAATAATCTGACAAGCTTGTCTGTCCTTCCATTCCCAGGCCTCACAGAAGAATATCACTTTCTCTTTCTCAGTTGAGCAAGAACTTCTTGCGGTCAACATCAAACCAGCTTCAGTGCTGATCTACGATCACTATGAAATAGGTAGGAGGCCTGGCTGAGATACTTGTCTATTTCCACTAAGCTGGATGGCATTTGTTTACATGCTACTACTCTTACCTTAACACATATTGACTGGGGGTGGGCACTCCCAGCTTTTATATTGGATGTTAGCCCCATGTCCCTCCCAGACGGGACCAGTGGACACCTTGAAACTCGCCAGACACTGCCTATATATTATAGCTCAGCCTGGGGAATGGATCAGTCTGAAATGGGGAGATTGCAATGGAGTTTCATCAGATGTTTAGGGACTTATTGAACATATCAAATGCTGCCCATGAGTTTATAGATCAGCCATGAAGACAGGTCATTCTGAAACAAGGGAGGCTTCAAGTTCTCAAAGGTGTTTGTGAGCTGAGAGGATTCTGTAACTGGGGCAGAAGACACTTATTGCGGCTTTGGAATATTTGGATTGAATGCGTTTGAGTTTCTTCTTTTGTAGATGGGCATGTCCTTGCTGAGTACAGCACAGCCTGTGGTCAGACATTTCACCTTGAAAGCAGCTACAAGTCCGCACCAGATAGAGCGACTTGTGAGTGGTACTCTCCATAGAGTACAATAAGAATGGGGAGATGACGGGCTGGGGGGGAAAGTGGACAAGAGACTGGGTGATGTAATCTAAATGAAAGGGAGAGCTGTTCAGAACCTGAGGGCTCTGATGTATTTTGTAAAGAATTTGAAAGTAGTGTAGTGGGATGGATTTCACTGGGAAAATATACAAGATTTTGTAGATGTTGAGCTTGGAAACAGATCCCTTCACTGTGAAAATGAGCCACTTTCTGAGCAGAAATGGCTCCATCGGGTGGGGGGGTGTTTCAAAAGCAGCTAAATGACTTAGGAGCACATGTGCTATTGAAAGTTAGTGGGACATGTACTCCTGAGACGCTTCTGAAATCCCACCCATCAGCTGAAGGTGACTCTGGAATTGGAACTCTTGCATATACAGGATTTGAAACTTTCACATGGTGCTGGTGTTGTAACCAGCCACTTCAGGGAGTTTTCTGGAAAAGTGAAACTTGTGGGGAGTGAAACGTGGTGAAAATGTCTGTGCTTAATTCTGCAGTTAAATTTTCAGCTGTTTCATGCAGCTGCAGTGGTTTGTAGAGCAGGAGAAGAAAGGCAGAGGGATTAAGTGTGGTTTTGTCCTCCTGGCACAACCAGAATTGGCACATTGGCTTTTAATAGGAGATTCTGATCTCTCTCTCTCTCTCTCTCTCTCTCTCTCGCTTAAATCAAAAGTAAATCCTCTGAAGTCAATAGAGTTACCGTAGTGAAGGAGAGAGGAAGGGTGGGGCCCAATGGGTGAGGATGTAGGATTGCTCTGCATGGGGCCAAACAGGCTGATATTTCATTGGTTCCACATGGAATTGACAGAAACCTCCTTTCAGGACAGGCCTGCTGTCATTCTGTACAGCTAAACATCATTTTCTGGGGAGAAAATTGAGCTATACAAAAAAAAAATCCCCCTTTTCATCATTCTCATTTTTAGTCTATTTTTCCCCCCCTCACAGGACAAACCCAGACTGAAAAAAGAAGCCAGAGCATTTATTTCCCCTCTTTCCTTCTGCAATCCCTCCACTACTACTTGTTTGTAAATGTTACACTTACAGCATGCAGTCAATCAGGTTGTGACTGTGCAGTAGGTAACTTGGCTTGATTTCAGCCCAGCCTGCGTGTCCCTTCATACTCTCCCTCCAGAAATATATAGACAACCCTCTACTCTGCCTCCAAACTGACTGAGAACAAGTAGTTGGCAATAAAGCACATAATATTCCCTGTAATAATCAAATTCTATGTGTCTGGGTCCTGATTATCTTGTCTTTGCTCACTGAAGCATGATTATCACTTGTTGACCAAGCAAAGTCAGGCCCTACATTTAACTTGATGGAGTTTATTTGTCTGTAATGTCATAACTTTCTCACACTTTTGACTGGTGTGAGAAAAATCAGGCCTACACAGGGCGGGCGCTTCCATTTAGGCGACCTAGGCAGTCGCCTAGGGAGCCAGGATTTGGGGGGGGGCGGCATTTTGCCGCCCTTGGCGGCAATTCGGCGGCGGGGGGTCCTTCCGCGCTTCGGGTCTTCGGCAGCAATTCTGAGGCGGCTCCTTCACTCGGGACCCGCCCCCGAAGTGCCCCGAAGACCGGGAGCGCGGAAGGACCCCCCGCCGCAGAATTGCTGACGATGACCGGGAGCGCAGAAGGACCCCCGCCTAGGGTGCCAAAAACCCTGGCGCCACTCCTGGCCCTATGCTCACTATGGTGCTGCAAGCAAAGAAATTTCTCTAGTGCCTCTGCAGCTAGCTACACAAATCATAGGCAATAGTTCAATATACTGCTTTCTCTCACGCTGGTGTACAGCTCAGCCTCAGTAAGCAATGAAGTGTGTAACTAGTTTGAGCTAATGCCAATTTTAAAGAGTCAGTGACCCAGACAGTAACTGAAGGGCAATAGAGTTGTGCAAGGGTCATGGACTGATAGTCCACAAGCACAAGCTAAAGTGCAAAAATCTGCTGCATAGTTCTGTAAATGCAAGCTGTGTTATTCCAATGCTGGACTTCCTGTACAGCTCTGCCCATGCCCCTCAGTCCTTCCCTGCAGCCCCCCTGCTA